GACCTTCTGTTCCCTCCCCGTGACGAAGGAGAGGACCCAGAGGATGAGATGAGGGTTAACGTTCAGTTCAAGTCTTGAGGCTCATTGGGTCTGATGCGCTGCCGTGTACGCTCCACAACCTCAGGCAGGAGATGCTTGAGACATAGGGGCTAGCTCTGCTACGTCATGTTGATCAAACCTACAGAAAAAGTTATTCAGATCGTGTGCCATGCGAACACACGTGTCTGCAGGGAGCCCAGAAGATATACATTTAGAAGGGAGCCTAGCCAGGGTTTTGACCCCTTCCAAGCATCCCTGGCTCTATCGCTGCTAAAAAGCTTCTCCGCTCTTTTTATAGGCCCCTTTGGCAATTTTAACTTCCCTGTTCAGCTTGTTTTCAATACGTTTACCTTTGAGTCTATTCCATAGACTGTACATATGTACAGGGAATATTCCCTGAGTTAAAAGCTTTCTACTTTTCATTCAGAGCTGTTTTAGGTGAATCAGTGAGCCAGGGCTTGTTATTAGAAGACGCATAGTAGGAACCAGCATGTCCACACAGAAGATGTGTCACCGTTCTCAGGACAAGTGCTCACAGAGTAATGCAATGAGTATGTACAGATAAAAAGTGTTTAACTTTTGTTCTCTGCGCTCACACTGACACTGATTCTGCACACAAGTGAAAATAACTCACTTATTTCTTCATCTTCTCAAGATGCGGTAGCTTCATCTGGAACAATAAAACACAACCTCACAGAGAAAATCTCAGTAACAAAACATGAATCACCTGATGTCACTAATGTCAGCAGTGGGTTACGTTGCTATCAGAGTTTTCTCTCATAGTATCTTTAAATGGCCAAGATGCATCTCCAAGTGCTAATGAGTGGAGTAAACAAGTGAAGTTAAATGGCGTCTTTTAGTTGTGACCATCTCCATTCAAACATTTTTTTGTCACATCCCAACATGCAGATATGGCCTGAAAAGCACAAAAATGTGCTCCGAGAGTAAAAGAAAATGACATATTTGAACGTTTGTCTTCACCTTCAGGCTGCGTGGACTCGACCACGTCTCCATGGAAGCAGAGACATTGAGAGATGTGATAAAAGCCATAAAGGGAGAATATATAAAACGGTTTAAAGAGTGATTATAGATCATGTGCTGTTGTTAAGACCCACCCTCTGCTCTCCACAGACTCTGCTTCCGGATCCATTAGTGAATAGAAAGATCAGAAACACAATTAAAAAGAAATTGTGCTTTCAAGCGTTTTCCAACATAAAGAATTGGTCAAATTTAACAGAAGGGGTGTTGTAAATTAAACAACAACAAAAGAAAATGTATTAGTGTGTGTGTGTGTGTGTGTGTGTGTGTGTGTGTGTGTGTGTGTGTGTGTGTGTGTGTGTGTGTGTGTGTGTGTGTGTGTGTGTGTGTGTGTGTGTGTGTGTGTGTGTGTGTGTGTGTGTGTGTGTGAGGGGAGATTTTGCAGGTCAGTTTGCCAATCACACAGAACACAGAGAGAAATAAAGCTTGTCTGTGTTACTCTGCAATCCCAAAAGAGAGTAAAAAAGCACATGCTCTCATTTCTACATGCTTCCTGGCTTTTTAATCACTCCCCCTGATGGATCGACCCTCTGATAATGACTTTACCAACAACTGTCTTTTCAACTCCTCATAATAATGAAAGTTTATTATGAGACGGTGAGGTAATGCATTCTAAATGGAACATATTTCACTGTAATGCAGCAGGTTTATAGCTATCGTCCTCCCTTTCATATAATTCATTAATTCCTCCTATTTGAAAGTAATTTGTTTTATAAAGTATCTATAATTGGGATTGACCTTTGAATAACCTGACTGTCAATGTTCTTCCAGCGGAGTGCAGACGGCCCATTTCTACTGTCAGAAATTCCGGGTAGTTTTACCAGAATTTTGCAGCATGTGCATGCTTACAGTTCATCGAGAAAGGAACCAACGGAGTACCTGAACTCGTACCGGCTGGCCAAGCGGGTTGCAGCAGTGGAAGTTTCTGAGGCAAAAGTTGTCAGAGGAGTTTGGAGAAGCTGTGAAAAGAGACTATCGATCGGCTCCAAAGAGGTTCTGGCAAACTGTCCGGCGCCTCAAGAGGAGAAGCCAACAACTCGCTCACACTGTTTACAGTGGAGATGGGGAGCTGCTGACATCAACTGGGGCTATAGTCGGACGATGGAAGGAATACTTTGAGGAGCTCCTCAATCCCACCGACGAGTGTTTCGAGGAGGAGGAACCAGAGCTAGGAGACCTGGAAACGGACCGTCTGATCTCTGGGGCAGAAGTTGCTGAAGTAGTCAAACAACTACACAGCAGCGGAGCCCTGAGGGTGGATGAGATTCGTTCCGGGTATGGCTTTGGATGTTATAGGACTGTTGTGGTTGACACGTCTCTGCAACATTGCGTGGTCACCAGGGGCAGTTCCTGTGGAGTGGCAGACTGGGGTGGTGGTCCCCGTTTTTAAGAAGGGTGACCAGACGGTGTGTGCCAACTATAGGGGGATCACACTCCTCTGCTTCCCTGCAAAGTTTTACTTCAAGGTACTGGAGAGGAGGGTCCGATCGATAGCTTAATCTCGGATTGAGGAGCAATGTGGTTTTTGTCCTGGTCGTGGAACTGTGGACCAGCTATACCCTCGCTAGGGTGATGAAGGGGTCTTGGGAGTTTGCCCAACCACTTCACATGTGTTTTGCAGATTTGGACGAGGCTTATGACCGTGTCCCCAGGGGCATCCTGTAGGGGGTGCTTCAGGAATATGGGGTGGATGGTCTTTTCCTAAGGGCCATTCAGTCCCTGTACCAGAGAAGCATGAGTTTGGTCCTCATAGTCAGCAGTAGGTTGAAACTGTTCCCAGTGAGGTTTGGACTCTGCCAGGGCTGGGCTTTGTCACCGGTCCTGTTCATAATCTTTATGAACAGAATTTCTAGGCACAGCCATGGTGTGGAGGGTGTCGAGTTGGTGGTAGGAGAATCTTGTCTCTGCTTTTTGCGGATGATGTGATTCTCCCAGCTTCACCAAGCTCAGACCTTCAGCTCTTGCTGGGGAGGTGCACAGCCAAGTGTGAAGCGGCTGGGATAAGGATCAGCTCCTCCAAATCTGAGACCATGGTTCTCGACCGGAAAAGGATGGTTTGCCAACTCCAGGTTGGGAGAGAGGTCCTCCGCCAAGTGGAGGAGTTTAAGTATCTCGGGGTCTTGTTCATGAGTGAGGGAAGGAGGGAGCGGGAGATCGACAGGCAGATTGGGGCAGGGTCTGCATCACTGCAGACGCTAAATCGATCTGTTATGGTGAAGAAGGAGCTGAGCCAGAAAGCAAGGCTCTCAATTCACCAGTTGATCTACATCCCAATCCTCACCTATGGTCATGAGCTTTGGGTGATGAAAGAACAAAACCGCGAACACAAGCGGCGGAAATGAGTTTCCTTCGCAGGGTAGCCGAGTTCAGCTTTAGGGACAGGGTAAGGAACTCGTACATTCAGGAGGGACTCGGAGTGGAGCCGCTGCTCCTACGCATCAAAAGGAGCCAGTTGAGGTGGTTCGGGCCTCTGGTCAGAATTCCTTCTGGACACCTCCCTCTGCAGGTGTTTTGGGCATGACCTGCTGGCAAGAGGCCCCTGGGTCGACCCAGGACTACTAAGAGGAAATACATTTCTAGGTTGGCCAGGGAACGCCTGGGTGTCCAAGCTGAGGAGCTGGCTGACATGGCCTGGGAGAGGATTGCCTGGGAGGCTCTACTTGGGATGCTAACCCCCACGACCCGGGCCCGGATAAGCGGAGGAAGGTGAGGTGAAGTGAATTCAAATGGTGTTTTTCTTTTTGAGATTCTGGTAGTTTTTCCTAAAGTTGAAGTGGTAGCAGCCGGCTGTTTCTCCTTCTCTGATATTATTGAGCGGAGAACCTCTCACACCAGTGGTGTTTTGTTGCTAAATAGAGTGTGTTATGAGTGGAGGACCCAGGTAAGTGTAATGATTTGGCGAGACCGACAACCAGATGGTCCAATGGTTGCTTTTGGTCCTAAATGTGTTTTTGGTTTAGGTTTTTAGAAAGATGTGAGAGAACCACTTCATTATTTTTGTTTTTGTTTATCTCCACAATAAATTTATAGCTATACTATGCCAGAACGTTGTTAAGAGGCAAGATGAAAATGTTCTAAGCTAATTTGTTTTCCAAATTTGCCATTGCAGTTTTAACTCATGCTGGTTGTAACTCAGTAGGAAATAGACAACCAACCAGTTATACATGTATAACTGAAGAGTTGCTGGTCAAGCAGATCGAAAGGCAAAGAAAATTGCTATTTCTAAACTTCGAATACCAAAAAATTACAATAGAAATCCCCCTGAATCGCTGTAATTCAGAGCACTTTGTGGTCTCACAACAACATTTCTTCTGGTCATTGGAAAAATGCAGCTTTTCACATCACAAGACTCCCCCTGAAAGGATTAATGTACTTTTAATATTATTGTGCATGGACATCTTTTGGTGCTGATCAGTGACGTAACTCACTGTTGGAGAAGTCACCACATTCTGACATCTTATGTAAACCCAACGGCAGAGAGGACCAAGCCATCGTATCTCCTGGTCACTTTTTTCCCCAACCCTGAAATTTCCCAAAGCTCCTATAGTAAAAACACGGCTATAACGTACAAGAGTAGAAGGAATGGACGTAAAGAAAAGTGAGCAAGTAAATTCAGCTCCGTGACTTTCCCAGCATCAGGTTTATGTGTGCAGAGTGTGTTTCCAGGGCTTTCCATGCTGTCACAAAAGGCCCCTGTGAGACCAGCTTATTTACCCTGCAGTAAAACCCAAGAGGGAGTATACCCTGCAGTAAAAGTGTAGAGGGGGTGCAGCGGAATTAGATTTAGAGTCGCCCCCGGCTCTCTGTTCTCTGTGTGCCATTAGGGAAAACCCGCTCTGCTGCTCTTGTTCCGTTGTTCAACTTGAGTTATGGTGTGTGTTAAGAGTCAAAGGTAAGATGTGTTGTTTAAGACTCAAAACAAGTTTCAGAATAGAGTTTAATGAAAGAGAGAGGTATTACATTGCTCTCGGTTATTGGTTACATAATGGCTGGTAACAGTGACAAGATTTTTTAAATTAGCATAAATAAGCAGTTGTGCAATTAAGGGTTATTATTACATTTCACAATGCTTTTTTATTTTTGCATAAGCACTTGCTTGACTGTACAAGATGCGTTTTCACATATGAATGCAAAATGTGCTTTTGCCTTTTCTTGCCAAGATGTGAGGCTGAAAAGACTATCAACAAGGTTTGGAAGAGACTTTGCACACAACCGAGGGTTAGCCATCGCTGGAAACCAGGCGATAAGCAGTGACCGGAGAGACATTACATACACAATACAGAGGCTGACGGCTCTGCGAAGCCACCTGCAGTACATGGCAAAGGTACAGTACAGCATATATCTTCCCAGCATGCTCCAAACACATTGGACAAAAATGTTCTCAGGTAAGAAATTGACATTCGGACCCTCCTCCTTTTGGAAAGAGTTGCTTTTGTTACATTCCATATTTTCATCAAGTTCAAGTAATTCGATCAAACTGCAAGCTTGGACGTCTGGACTTTTTGAGTCTGCATGCAATAAGGAGCTGGTGTGTGAGTGTGTGTGTGTGTGTGTGTGTTAGCAGCTGAATGAACAAAGCTTATAACCAGTGACATCCAAAGTTGAGGTTTCAAACGCAAAGCCGTGAATCCCCTTTGATCTGTGACCTGGAGGCGGAGTTCTCTCGCTTTGTACAGCATCTGTAAACTTTAGAATATTTTTTGCATTTTTGTCTGAGTTTGTATTAAAATAGCTGTTGAGTACAGACAACGGATGTTATTGTTTAGTAAATCGTTTTCAAAAGTCCAACAACTGATCGTTTTAATGAGACTTAAATTGGTTTTGTACATTTGAATAAAAAAATCGGTTTACTCAGCGTTCTCGTGCCCACATTTTTAGTAAAAGTGAATTGAAAATGTATTGGTTGATTTGGACATTTGTCATGAGGAATCATTCTTTATCTGTATCAGAGTTGGGTTCAGGTCTTTAACCCTTTCATCACGATAGCGCTGTGTACAAAATAAAACCAAATCAAATCAAAAAAGAAAAGTAGTGGGAGAATGTCTCATTTTTTTTATAAATGAACAAATAACCAAATTATCTATCTGGGTTTGGATGGTTTACATTCATTCTGTTAAATCAGTTTCTAGCTTTTTGTCCCCTGCCGTCTTCATTGTACAGCAGGTGGGGTGTGTCTTTCCAAGGCACTTGAGTCTTTTCATTTCCCTAGATGATGAACTTAAAACCAACTGATGTCTTTTAGGTAATGCCCCCTTCTCCGGGGTACAAATGCACTTAAATAAAACATTAACATATTGCTTAATCAAAAGCTACTCATTAATGTCCAGCTTTGGTGTTAATTGTACACTAAGATGACACTAAACAGGTCTGATGGTAACCAGATTCTGAATTCCATGTTGTGCAACAAATAAATGTAATCTGCAGACTGAAATCAGGTTAAATGAACCCAAATACATGAAACAGAAGGCAAACGACTAAAACCCGAAAGGCAAAACAACCTCGGTGATCTATGCCGTCACCGAAGCACCGAGAAGAAAACCACAGACAAAACAGAATAAAAAATAAAGCTGTCAGTGTAGCAAAATAGACAAAAACAGACTTTAGAGCTATTAAGGGAACGTCCATCATAGGTAAAAGGTGTCGTTAGTGAACTGCTCTGCGGAGAAAGACTGCGCATGGTTGAACGTGTGCTGCCTGGGCTTTGCATTGACGCTGAAACATTCAAACTACTTTGTGGTCTCTGGGACTCTCTGGTTTCCACTGACTGCCTTGGAGCTGTAAAATTCCCTGCAGAACCTCCAACCAGACTTTGTAGCAGAAGAGGTACTGTTCCTGGAAACAAAAAGACAAAGAACACGTCCACTTATCATGTTTAAACGTGCATATTTAACTCCTTTGTTTGCACTAACCTTGGTTTGAATCATCCCATGCCGCTGAAGTCTCATCTCTTTCACAACGTCGCTCACATTAATCTAAAGACAGACAGACGGATTTATTTTTAACTAAAAAAAATAAAACACAATTGACATTTAAGATTCTCCCAGAGGATTTTGAGGGGGTTGCCGCGGTTGCTTTGAAAGTTGTTGCAGACATTTGCTACTGGTTCTGGTTAAGTGCCGACATATAAGTATTAATCAGCAGGGCCGGTCCAACCCTTTGTGGGGCCCTAAGCAGGTTTTCTTTTTCTTGGGGGGGGGGGGGGGGGGGGGCTCCCATGCCAACATGTCAACACCAGACGACTCATCATTCCAAGGCTACACTATCTTGCAGAGTGCATTACCGGCCACTAGGGTGCGCTGTGATCAAACCTCAAGGGAAAAAGGTGTCTTCAGGAACGTGCCTGAAATCACGTAAATGTGGTTATCCCTGACTGTACATACTACTGCTTCTCATTTGTATTGCTGCTGCTCAACCATCACACTGCTGTCTATCCATGCTACTGTTCGACTTGTATGTGTAAGTCTTCACATGCTTGTTAAGCTAATATAATGGTCACATTGTCAGTATGCATGCTAAGCCGCGCTGCACGTGTCTACTTATTTTCTCGCGTTGCTTAGCTTTAGCCTTTAGCCCATGCTGCTGCTTCAGGCTGCCGTTAGCTTCTGCTCACTCAGCTTTGTACGTCGCCGCAGGGCTCCTTCATCCTTGTCAATAAAGCCTTTAGACATCGAGGAGTGTATTTATTCATATCTGCGTAACTCACTAACTGTTGTTTGTGTCTTTTGTAATTTGCTTACATCATACTTGTGTTATTATGGCTATCGGTTTGAACATTACTGGGGAGCGGACCAACAGAAATGCTCTAATTGGTTCGCTTTTTGAATCGCATAGTGTTATTTAAGCGTGGTACAATTCAGCTGTTTGAAAGTAACATCAGCAGAAAAAATAATTAATTTGCAGTAAACAAGTAAAGTTTACGATCTTTTGTTCACAAAATTTGGTGCAGATGTGTAAAATGTGCGTAATCGCTACAAAATGAAACCAAATGGTCTGTCTGTCTGTCTGTCTGTCTTTCTATCTATATAATTTCCATGTCTAATATCTTTCATTTTTATTTTTAAAAGTAAAAAAAAAATGTTCTCATGCCCTCTTGGTACTTTTGGGGGACCCCTGATGGTGTGGGGGCTCTAAGCAGTCGCTTAATTGATGCATGCCTTGGGTCAGCTCTGATAGTATAAAAGCAAGCCTCCACTCACAGGCAGGTCATTCTCAATGAGTTTGAGGATAACGTCGGTGCAGATGAGAACTCCTGTCCGTCCGATGCCAGCACTGCAGTGGACGGTGATCGGCCCCTTGTGGTGCACCGCCCTCATGTAGCGGATGAATCGAACCAGTTGCTCAGAGCATTGCGGCACGCCGTGATCGGGCCAGAGTGTGAACTTCAGATGATGAACAAAGTGGGTCTCACCAGTCTGGAACATCAGGTTAAATTAACGTGGTAAATGCAAATAAAAATTCAACAAAAAATCTATGATTTTTTTTTTTTACCTCTGTTTCCACCATGCGGATCACCTTTATCTGGAAGTATTCCAGGAACTGCTGGTTCTCCAAATGGAGCTGGTACCTGCCAGTGCTCAAGGGCGCACCCTGCTTCTCTGGCCAATACTTGTGACACTTGATTCTTCCTTTTTCTACTTCTTGGGTCATCATGGAAACAATGTCAGATTTAGTCTCCCAGATCATCTGCCAGAAGGCCTGAACCGTAGAGGGTAGAGGTCCTTGGCAGGAGATATAGAAAAGCTCCTCCTCTCCGACTTGCATGCGGATGTAGCTTGCGTTTATGTACTCCTGGTTCTCTCCAATGGCTACCCGCGTTTTATCATCTGTAGGGGAAAATACACAAAGAACATCCTGACTTGTGTGTCAAATCTGTTAAGTAGAATATAAAGAAAGCTCCAAACAGCCTATAGGAGCAGTAAACCACCGTTCACCCCCACAGATCTAAGGCATTCGCAGAAATCTGCAAGGCATATGGTGTGTTTCAGTTGTAATAATTCCACTGGGGGTCACTTTTCTTTTTATCACACTCATTCATCTTAACTCTGACCTGTTTCACCCCCACACGCTGTGAAAGTCTGAGAAGAAAACACTCCTGTACATCTCTCACATACGTTCCATGCGTTTGGCAGCTGGGTTTGTATTAATAACATTCCTGGGCTAATTTTTCACAGAATAACAACTACACACACACACACACACACACACACACACACACACACACACACACACACACACACACACACACACACTCACACACTCACACACACACACACACACACACACACTCAACAATTTTAACGTTCATCCTCTCTCTTTGCATCCACTTCCAGTAATTTCTTGTGATTATGCAGTTTAAGGAATTATTTCCTCCTTCACTTATTAAAGGGATAAATCCTGGGTGATTGCAGGGACCATCATCATCATCATCATCATCATCATCATCACATACTTGGCATGCTGAAGGGAAATGAAACTGAGCGCAGTACCATTGAATTATTACAGCTTGCACAAAAGTTAAAATGCTGTGCAGAAATTACTCACTGCTGTAAATAATCATGTTCACTTTATTCAGTAAAAATGTAAAATCAGCTTCAGGTGGCTAAATGAAATCTGCGTTCTATTTCATCTAGTCTTTACAGTCTTTAGCCCTCAAAACAAAATAAAGAACAAAAACTGTTTAATTTTTAAAGTTTTTTTTTCCTGTAAAGTAAAAGTTTTCCTCTTACAGGGGAGGATGTCTCTGTAGCGGTTCTTGTCCCGGTTCTCAGGAGCTTTCCCCACCAAACAGTCGTCAGATGGCTTCAGATGCTCCAAAGCCTGGAATAAAAAAACAAGATAAATAAAATAAGAATGCATACAAACACATAGCCTTTAAATTTGCCTGAGTACATGTGAGTTTTATTATTTTGCATTATGCTTTAACATGAATAACGCCATCTGTGCAGCTCTGATGTCATACATGCTGTAAATAAAACCCACCATGAACTCTTTGATCAGTTCCTCCTGGTCCAGTTGATGCTGCAGAATCTGTATGAGAGCTTTGACCCTGTAGCCTGAATACTGGCTGGACCTTGTAGGGGTTATGAGGGCCAGGCTCATCAGTTCCTCCTCTGATACTAACGGCGGGCCTGAGCAGCAAAGTATTATTGGGTTATATTGCTCGGACACATAAAAAACAGCAGTAATTAAGGATGAATAGGCACCCATTTGAGGAGAAGATACTTCCTGAGTTTTTGCATCAAATACGTCATCATCCTCGTCGCTGCTCCAACCGTCTGACTGGGTTTTCCGGATATCTTTGCACGACTGGTCCAAGAGTTTGGTAACAATTTGTTTCCTGGGAAAAGCAGATGAAAATGTCAACTACAATTTTAAAGAATATGTTTCCAGCTGTTTCTGGATTCAGTTGCTAACCCTAATGCCAAAATTCTTAGTTACTGAATAAGAAAAGCAAAATACTTTAACCTACTGAAAACCACACTTGATAATGGCATCCCCAAAAATACAGTTCTTCTTTTTGTGGAGAACTTGGAGCCGTCTAGAATTTTCTCATATCTGTTTCCTAGTTTCATCTTTTGTCAATAATAATCTTTGCCACGCCTCAGAGATTTTCTGTAATGTATTTCAGCACCAAATCTAGAACCTGAGAACCTTTCAAGCCTCTCAGTGGTTTTACAAACAGTAATTAACAGGATTCCACGGGATTTCTAAGCTCTGCATACGGATGGCAACATTTTTAAGTTCTCTTATCGTAAGCATTGTGAAACGATCACTCATGTAATTCAAATTATATCATGTAAACAATCCAGCTGAGTATTAAAAACACTATTGATGGAATTATTCTTCACCTGAAGTAAAACTATTTGCTTCTGCTGCCCTGTCCAGTCTAACATTTATCATACATAGTACTTTATTTGCAGTGTTGGGAACGTTACTTTAAAAAAGTAATTAGTTATAGTTACTGATTACTTTGTCAAAAAAGTAACTCAGTTACTAACTGAGTTACAAGATCATAAAAGTAACTAATTACCAACAAAAGTAACTACTTAGTTACTTTTTTCATTAAAGAATGCAAGAATCACTACAATAGTAAAATATAAATGACTAATGACTGAACATAATAAAATGAATGTCCAAATGTTTTATATAAACCTGAATAATTTAAACAAATAAGCACTTAACAGGAGGAACTACTAATAGGAACATTACACTAATCTAGACTATTAAAAGGTCACTGTGTGATATTTAACAAGACCCCAATCAGCTAAAATTTAAAATTGCAAATAGAAACACCTGTAAAGGTTCCCGAGCCTTTAAATTGTCTCTCTGTCTAGTTAAATTACAGAAATAAATGTAATTTTGCACAGTATTCTAATTTTTCCAGCTTCACATAATTGTGTGTTTTTAGCAGCATTTCTGTTGCTTCTAATCTAGTAACGGTTAAATAAATAAATAAATAAATATCCTTTAAAATGACACTAGAAGAGGCACTAGAAGATCTGATGGAGGACTTACATTTACTAACGTGGGTCAGACCCAACCACAGAAGAGCTGAAGCTGGGTGGTAAACACACACAGGCAGTTCTAATAACACCTGAGCTCCATGCCGTCTGAGACAGATGCATCAGTGTTACAGCAGGACTAAAGACATGATCAGGAACAGGTTACAGCTGGATGATCTAGGAAGGTGGAAGATCAGGACGTCTGAGCGGTGAACAGGTGAGCGGACCTTCGGGACGTCCCCCTGTCATGCTAAGGGCACGGCGGCAGACCCGCAGATTCGCTGCTGCAGCAACAAATCTGCGGGTCTGCCGCCGTAGACTATTCATCACGTCTTCCTCGTTCTTCACGGGCCGTGATGCTCTTAAACATCTGCCTCTTTAGCTTCTGATCAGCTGACAGCTTCAACACACCGCGCTACTTAACGCACGCATTTTCTTATCAGTAACAGGAACGACGTTTTGATAAAAGAAGACGTAATTAATTAGTTTGCTCGTTACAGAAAGAAATATTTTGCGGTCATTTTAAACGGAGTTATTCCCGTTGTGTCTACAGAATGCAGTGACTGAGACCGTGAGGGTCTCCGCCCACCCGGCCAGTCATCATCGTGTTTGTAAGTGCGTTACCAACACCTCTCTCTCCCTGGCTGCAGCTGAAGTGTGGCGGTCAGAAAGCCTCACGCTGTTGCTCAACGTTCGACAAGCACATAGTAACGCACAACGTTCCGTCCCCAGTAACGGTAACGGCGTTGCAACGGCGGGAAAAGTAATTAATTAGATTATTCCGTTACCTATAAAAGAACGCCGTTAGAAACGCCGTTATACTTAAACGGCGTTACTCCCAACATTGTTTATTTGATCGTTTCATCAGTTGGGGTTTCAGTGATTAGTTGCTCTCTGCTGCCCCCCTGTGGCAAAATATGGAGGTGGATCATCCCAAACGAGGAAAGAGGAGGATAAGGGACAGAGGACAGGGAAAACACAAACATCACAAGAAAGGAGAAGTTCAAGACGTTAATACCTGTCAGAGGCTCCATGCAACATGTCAGTGACATTGAGGGATGGGCAGCAAGCTTGATGAGAGGGAGTGTTATTACAACTCTCCTGTCCCACAGGCAAGCAACCAGAGGAGGCAACAGACAGGAGGAGTGAGATGTTAGTGGATGTTAGTAAAGAGAAATGGAGCACAGTCTGATTTATATGACACTATAGTTTAAAAGTGTGACGGTACCTCTTCAGCTGACGTCTCATCTCTTACAACAATCACTCGGTGAGGTGGAGGAGGCGGCGAGGTAAGAATAACTTCTGCTTTGTTAACAACTGGATCTGAAGATGCCTCTAAAACAGTAATTGCAGTTCTCAGTATGTGCCAGATGAAAATGGATTGACTTGTTGAATGCTAATAACACATCAGATTCATGTTTCATCTCAATTTTACATTCCTGCAAACGGGGCTAAAGATCTTACCTGGAGGATGCTCAACCGGCTTGTTCAGCGTGACGTCAGGTGTGCAGCAGGCATCTGGGCCGGGCACGTGAGCAGGCTGGTCCGCTAAAATGGCTTCTGTGTAAATGGACATGTTTGGAGGCGTGGGTGACTCGGAGTAGGTCAGGGGCAGAATGTCCCGGCAGATGGTGAGCTGGACTGTTCCCTCAGCTTTACGCAGGATTTCCACCACCTTACTGTGGCTCAACCCGGACACGATCACGCCGTTCACCTGGTGTGAGGAGAGTCAGAATCTCTGGGTCAACCTCATTATAAAGGAAAAAACAAACAATCCAGTAAACTTCTTCAATCGTTTACCTCTAGAAGAATATCCCCCACTTTCAGCCGGCCGTCCTGCTCAGCCACCCCACCTGAGCAGATATCCCTCACCCTGAGCATGCTCCCATTAGTTCCACCAACCAGAGCGAAGCCGAGGCCTCCGCCTTCTGGTTTTTTAAATTCCACTTGCATGATGCAACTCTGCAAGAACAAGAGTTCAATAATGAACAGTAGAATTAAGGGGGCTTGTGTCTGTTTGGGCCAAAAATGATACCCCTCTGAACCCCCCCCAGCAGACTAACGTGGAGCTGATTCATGTTACAGTTTTTCCTCTACTCAGACACTGAAATACAAGACGCTAAAGACAGGTAAGTATGAAAATGAAGTGGGTAAAAAACCTGATCAGAAACAAGCTGCTGGACGAAACTCAGCATTTTCAGACACTTACGTCCTGTTCCTGGGCGAGAGAGAGACATCTGAACCTCCCTGCTGTTGCGGCTTCAGCTGAAATACAACAAGAATTATGAGTAAAGTCAATGCAAATAACCAAGTTGTGATATTATCTTTCCCAAAAATACCAAATCAGACCTAGAAAATAAGAACATTTAGTCAAAGCAGCCAAGTTCCAGCTTGGCTCGTAAAAACAGAAGAAGAAACCGCCCAAGTTCATCCACAGCCACACTCAAAAAACAACACACCAACCTTGCACCTTTTCGGCCATTTTCAAAATGGTGTGCTGATGGATGCGTCTCTTCTATGACAGATGAACAAGGCTGATCTTTTCAGACAGCTCTGCTGCACTGTCCTTCACTGCTCTATGTCCTGTCACCAGGCAACTGAGCTTCCTGCTCTATAGACCACCACCTGCACGGGTCCTGACCTGCGTGGACGTGTGTGACGCCTTTGCAGTCTAATACACCAGTGGAGGGCCACAAGCTTGCTAATTATTAATCCTACAGTGAGGGCGCCAGGACCTGTCTGTCATCACTGAGGTCACACACTCACACACACGGGGGAAGACACTTATCCGTCAGCGCCGAGCTCTGGCTCCGCGCTGACAACGGGACAAAAGGTGAACAGTACCATTCATGGAGCTGATGCAATATCATCCAGAGTTTAGAGCGACTAAATTAACAGTTAAATAAATAAAGACTCACTATTTTCAGCAGGAAACTCTCTCTCGGTGGAAACGGACTCTTCAAAACGAGCAAAGAACTTCTTGTCTTTTTTCCAGTCGAACAGGCCTGTTGAAGATCAGCTGGTTTAGGAACTCACAAAAGCAAGAAGAGATAAATGCTGTTCGACGTGCACAGACAAGTCCTGATCATGGCTCCTGGAATCATAACGCTCTCTGGTAAGGATTGAACTCTCATCAGTACAAACATATCTAGTTTTTAGTCTGCTCATAAGCGCATACCGGACAAACTCTCCTGTATGAGTGTCATTTTCAACTCACCGTTCCACTTAGCCTTTGGAGTAACTGGCTGATCTTCTCTGAGACAAACAACAACAGAGTTATTCAGAAAATAAAAGCAATAAATAATCAAACAATGTCACTATCTGTCATCCAAATAAATAGATACCTGATGATTTTTAGCTTAACCTTTCGAGGGGCGATCTCACACGCCTTGACCGCGTCCTCTAGGGTCATTCCCAGAGTGCACCTGCCGCTGATGTACAGGATCTTGTCGTTGGGTTGGACGCTGCCCTCCTCGCTGGCTGGGGAGCCTGGCACCACCTCCAAACAGTAGATGCCCTGCCATTTGCTGCCAATGCCACCTGTGAGCTTAATTCCTGAAGAGGATGCACAGAAAAACACATTCCCATAACAATGGCTGATGCAACCGTGGGAGCCAGCAGATGGACAGTAGTGACTTTCAGGGTCCCACCCAGCTGTCCTGAAGGCGTCTTATGGAGAATGATGTCAGGCAGGCTGTCACAGGGAGGCGGAGCCACCAGGTTACTAACTGCTCTGCCGAGAGTCATGTTCAATCTTCTGGGAGATGACCTGAGAATCGTCATGGCGACGTCATCTGCCACACTAGTAACATTGTGGCCGTTAACCTGCAAGGACGTCAGCGTCACAGGAAATCAAAAGTATGAAAGGGAACCCGGGCACGTGTTGTTTTTTATGTGAGAGCGTGTGTCTTGGCGCGTACCGTGATGAGCCTGTCTCCGGCTCGGAGTCGTCCGTCCGCCCTGGCCGGGTTGTCCAGGATGTCCTGTATGTAGTAGCAATTGTCCAGTTTGCTTCGAGCGATGGTGAACCCGAAGCTTCCACTCCTGGACTTAGTCAGAACCACCGTGAGCTCAAACTCTTTGACAAGTCCCTGTTAGGTAGAGATAATTCATTCTGTCCATAAGCTTTTGAAGTTCAGGCATGGGTCAAATACTGCATTTATCTAATGAGAAAAGTGTTAAAAAGTTGAAGTTTATCTTGCATTCAACGAGACACAACCTCACACAAATAAAGGTGGAGCTGGACCATTAAAGATAATTGTCTTGTTGCGGAGAGCTTCAACTTGCCTTTCTCCGACTCTCTTTTTCCTCCTCATCCAAATCGTCATCACCATCGTCATCATATTCCCTCCTTTTCCTCTCCAGTTCTTCTCTCAGCTGGATCTGGACGGGTGGGGGCAGCACTGTGGATGGTAGCGTCGGGGCGGGTGCACCAGCACAGGGAGGCACTGAGGAGATAACCTGGGCTGTGATAGGGGTCAGCGGTGGAGGCTGAGGGGGAGGCACCGTGGGCCGGACGTTCTTGGACATGGCTTTGTAGTGGCTTGGCAGAAGCCCCTGCTGGATCAGGTAATGCTTGGTTTTCAGTGGCTGCGTCGTGAGAGGCTGAGGCGGGTGGGTCAGGGGAAAAGTGGTCGGGGTGTCAGATGGGAAGTTGAGGGGTGAGAGGATGGTGGTGGGAACGTGAGGACTGAGGTTTGGAGCCTGAAAGCTGTTGGAGTTTTGAGAGTCGAGAGTTTCGATGTTAGCGGTTGGCGTGTTGCTGGCGGGAGGGCTGTGAGGAGGTTCTAAGGTGGAGCTGATGGTCAAGTACTCCTCATCAGCAACAATGGTGAGTCCATTTCCCACAAGGCAGTAGGTCACACTTCCATCTGCCTCCTCCCTGACTCCACTACAAAAAACAAAAAGCAAAATTGCCATATATCATACCTGACGATGGAATAAAGTACAAAGTACTATTGACACACACAACTTAACGTGAACCTGATGATGTGATAGTGTTTAGGGATGTTTTCAGACAGGTTTCGTAACAATACCTGGTGTATACGGGTTTAGAGGCAGTTTTAGGATAAGCGTCCACCAGCATCAAAGTTGCAGCATCATTTCTCCTGGTTTGAACTTCGTCTTCCTCTTGTTCTTGTCCCTTGGTGTTTGCTTGTGGCTCTGTTGTAGCAGGAGGAGAGGCAGGCGCAGGCGAGGCGGGCGATGCTGGCGATGCGGGTGAGACCGGCGACGGTGGAGACGTAGGTGATGTTGGCGTGGGGGTTGTGCGAGGAGAAGAGGGTGGAGTCTGATTGGCCTGCTCTTCCCCATCCGAACCTCGTTGGATCTCTGGGATTTGGGAAACAGCAAGTTCTGGACTCTTCTCCATGATGTTGGTCAGAAACTCTTCCTTGGTGGGTGGCACCATCTGTGCATGCATGTTGGTGTCATTTGGAGACTTAAGGAGCTGGCTGTAGTCCTCTCCAAGCCGGATGTCCAGGGATCGAGATCGAAGCTCGCGCGTGGGTGCAGGACTCTATTGGGCAGGATGAAAGTTAAGACCAGAAAATCCTGAATGCGTTGGGTCTTTTATTCAGATTTTGTCATCTCACCAGTGTGTTATCTTCTATATCATAAAGCGATCCAGGACCGGGTCGGCAGATCAACAGGTGGACTTCAGACGGGGCCCCGCGTAGCAGGAATAAAACCCTCTTATGAAAAAATAAAAAAATGTGATGAATCAAGCAATCTGATCTGATTACATGTTCTACAGCACACGGGTTAGTACCCTTGGCAGTGCTTGCAAGAGTGACACAACTAGTGTGCTATTTTCAGCAATCTAAGATTAACGAATTAGAGAACCTGTGACGTACTCGAGGTGCTATAAAAGCAGAGCCACATGTGTGCTAATACACCTCCCGGCCCACTCGTGTTGTTCACACTAACACAACTCTATCATGGCAAACGACTCAACAAGAAAACATTTTAACGAGCGACATCAGGTCAAAGAACCCAACCTGGTAGGAGAGATCTTTGACACGCTCCTTGTTGACGGATAGAATCACGTCTCCCTCTCTCAGCAGCCCACTTTCCTGAGCAGGCTGACCTGGAAACAGACGTTTGATCCGAACCACGCTGCCGCGGTCTGCACCCGAGCTCAGCTGTGAGATGTAAAAGCTGAAGCCGAGGCCCGACAGACTCTTCCTCAGGACCACTTCATGGGTATTTTCTAGGAAACAAAAAAACAATTCAACATCTTTGTGGAGTTTTTTGTTATTTTGAATCTGTGCAGGGTAGAGGTTATTGCCTTTTGAGCAAAGCACAGCCAAATCCAGCATTGGAGAGTTCTTATAACCAAACTCAGCCAACAAAACAGGCAGGTTGAAGGTTTCAGTGTGTCCACGCTTAGCGGACAGAGGCAGAATCAGCCCTGGATGACTCTGACAGCTACCACAATGTAGCTGTCAGATGAGTCACATTCACCTCTGGGCCCTGTGTGTGTGTGTGTGTGTGCGTGTCTTATTTTTTTATCTGAGAGTGTGTACATGCTCCTTCCTCTTTTCTCTCACCATCCGTTATAAAGCTGTAGTCCTTGGCTCGACAATTCAAGGTTGTTTCCATGGAGACCTCGGTCCTGGGGGGCTGAGTGTATGACGAACTGTGGATCAAGGGGGGGCCGGGTGAGTCAGGTCTGGATTCCAGGACTATCGTGGGCTCCCTCTCCAGCAGCAGGTTCACCACCTTTAAATCACAGCAGACACACAGAACACTGTAAAGTCACGCTTATTATGCACATTTATATTTTGTTCAAATGATCTGCCAAAAGAAAAGAATGGACATGTCGTTTTTATTCTATAAAAAAAAAGATGTTAAAATATGTTTTTTTTTACTCAAAATGCAGCATTAGTGTATTTATTTGAGGGTCAAGCTTAGGATTTGGCAGAGATGTGCGTGCACGCGTGCACGCGTGTGTGTGTGTGTGTGTGTCAGTATACACACATCCCCTGTCCTCTTCAGGCACTCGACAGCCTGCTGGTGAGTCACTCCCCTCAGGTTGGACCCGTCGACCTCCAGCAGTCTATCACCTGTCACATGCACCGACATAAATCTCATCACAATTAACAGCACCGATGTGTAAATGCTTTGTGATTGTGGGACCGTGTTAAGTTGATGGGCAAATCTAACAACCGTCCCTGCTCACTGGTGCATAAAGCAGGCAGACTAAAAACGCGGTGCCACGACTTACAAGCAGTTGATATTAAATATTCAAAAACAATCTGCTGTTTGTGGGGTTTAACGTGATTTATTAGTGACAAATGTGCAGATTACCGATATGAATGCGTCCGTCTTGCTCTGCAGCTCCTCCAGGCACTAGAGTCTTGATGTAAATGCCTCCATTATGGACATTAGTGTTTATTCCACCCTTTTTTTCGGGGGGGGGGGGGGGGGGGGTGGCAAAGAGATAATTACTCGAATTTCTGATTATTAAATAATCTTGAACTATTAGCACTTAAACCAAAAGGAAAGAAACACGTCACTCACAGCAACACTCATTCCGAGGCTGCCACGGCTTTTCTTCACCTCCACGTTAAAATGCTCTCTTGTTTTAAGGCATAAAATGGAAGGAGACCGTGGACACACATCCTGGAAAAGAGAAAAGGGAAACATTTAAATAAATATGATAAGTGTCACGGTCTGTGTCCCTGTGGAGCCCCAGCCCCCTCCAGGTTTCCCTCATGCTCCCCCCAGTCACTCCTTATTAGTTTACCCATTTTCAGTAACGTTAAGATCCCCTGCAGTAGATCTCCTCTTCCTTTGGTTCTGGTCTCTTTAGTTCATACATTAAAGTCCGAGTGTCTCTAGTTTCAGGTTCATCAGTTCACTTTTCTTTAGTTTTGTTTACATTATCTAGCTTGCTATCTCCCCTTAGTGTATTGTGTTTTCCTTCCCCAATTAGGTCTGATTTCCTCTCTTGCCCCGTTCTGCTCCGCCTCTTAGTTATTAGTCGCACCTGTGCCCTATCCCCTATGTCACCCAGCCCATGTGTATATAACCCTGTCTTGTCTCTCAGTGTTTGTTCGTCCGTTGTCGTCTGTCAGCGTTTTTCTAGTTGCCTCCTGTGCTCCAGAGTTTTTGTCGCTCCTAAAATAAAGGAATCTAATTTTTGCAACGACTCCTGCCCGTGTCGTTCTGGGTTCCTGCATTTTGGGTCCAGACCTCCATGACCTCAACGTGACAATACGAAAGAAAGATTACGGTATATATGTGTGTGTGTGTGTGTGTGTGTGTCTTTAAATATCCTTACAATGTAAATTAACTGTAATATCTCCTTCATGTAAATGTACAAACAAACAAACAAACAAACAAACACAAACATAAATTAGGTAAACAAAACACAAAAAACAAATAAAAGACAAATAAAAGCATTTAAATTATTTAAAATAAACAAACATTACCGATTTGATTTTCAATAATTTATCTTTAATCAATTAAATTGATCTAAAACTAACAGGAAAGTTTAGTTGTAGTAGTGTGTACACATTCCAAAGCAATTGAAAAAGCACAATTGAATTCAATTGATATTGTTTGCGCCTTTAAAACCAGAAATGCAACATATTTCTGAATGTTGGGTAATGACTCTTTAGTTAAGCAAAACAGTAACACGACAACAGAAATAACATAATAGATTTACAGAGAGGTGTGCTTTTATTTTGGAGGATGATGACAGGATTGATCCTGTTATTCTGAGAACTTAATCAGTTTAGGAGTCAGTACTGGTTGGACTCCTGCTGATTATTCAACATGATCCGTAGGAACAAAATCAGCTGCGTCTGACTGAGTGTCACCAGAACAATGGTTCCTACCTGAGAATGGTTCCTACCTGAGCATCATGTATTCGCACGACAGGGATGTGAAGCTTCCTGTTGTGCTTTGGGGTTGCCATGCTGGACAGAGTAATAGCCTCCTCCAGCTCATCCATGGGGGGACGAAACTCAGTTCCACTCAGGGTGGTCTGTGACCCAAAGCTCCTCTCCAAACCAAGGGTACTTTGACTTAAGGAACCTTGTCTGTCCTTCAATGACTCTGATGGGAAAGAAAATCAGCACAAACTACTTAATATTCTATAATTACATCCAATTTTCAAATGAACGATCTAACACTGGGACAGTTACAGGACTTACGTTTAGGCTGGGACACGATGAGCTCCACCTCGTCGGGGCTGTTCTGTAAGATAGCAGCGGCATCGTTGAATGTCACTCCTTCCAAACTGGTTTTGTTTAGCGAGATGAGACGTCCACCTGGGAAATCAAGAAGAAAGAGAAAGCCTTTGTGATTCTGCAGAGACACGGCGCACATAAACAGCAAACTAGACTTTCAGTTAGCCTCTCACCAGGTTTTATTCTTCCATCTTTATCTGCAGGTCCATCAGGCACAACGGAAGCAATAAAGATCCCAAGGTCAAGTTTTCCTGTATTGTCCTCCCCCACGATCACAAACCCTGCAACACCACCAGAGGATGAGAAAGCAGGAATCTCCTGAGTGGAGTGAAGGAACAAGAGGCTCTGAAATGAACACACCGAAACCCAGTTTGGGATCTTTCTTCAGAGTCACACAGACAATTTCTCTCTCTGGAGGGGTTCTTGTTGGAGTGCCAACTAGAAAAATACAAAATCCAGAGTTAAAACATCATAAGACAGACACAGACAGCCAAATCATACAACCTGAAGCAGTTCCCAGATGAACAAATTATATCTTTTATCTTGACATAAAAATCTAACAGCACTTGATTTAAAAATAATCAGCCGTCACATTTTGTTATTTTCCATCTGCCTAGAAACAGGAATCCGTTGATCACCTCTTAGAGACGACGACGCGTCAGAGTCCTGCTTCTGCAGGGAGACGCTGGACGTCCTTCTGGGAAAAGTCCCTGGAGTGCTGCAACACCACACTCACATTTAGTTCCATCTTTTCTGACACAAGCATTCATTAAATCACCACAGGAGCTACCTCCAGCACGGCCGCTCTTTCACGTCCCTGAGGTCTCCTGCTTCAGACAGCTCCTTGTTCAGTTCTCTGCTCATCTCCCGCCTCATCTCTCTCTGCTGGCGGAGGCGAGCCTCCAGCTTGGCAGTGAGGTCCTCGCAAGACTTGGAGAGGGAGTCCGGGTGTCCGGGAGTCAGACCAACATGGTTCAACATGCCCTCCGAGCAGGAAATCCTCTTCAGGCTCATGCTACGAGCTCGATAGGCAGAGATGTTTTCATCTGGAGGAGCAAACAAAGAGTGTTTATCTTTTGCCTGTTGATGGTTGTCAGTACTAAAAACTTCTAATCAAAATGTTTTCTACAAAGACTAAAGCATTCCCACCAGGTATCATGGTGTGGTTAAGCTGTCGTGATGTCATCTCGCTGTGAAACTTGTGCTGGGCCGAGCAGAGGTTCAGGAGGTACTGGGCGATTTTGGAGGTTTCCGTCACAAAGCTGTGCTTTTTCCCACTGGGGCCACCGCACTCTATGATCAGTTTACGTCGCTGAAAGTTCATCAAAAATACATGAGCTCTCTATTACTTAGTTTCCTTTAAAACTCACAGTTTTGTTTGAAATCTAACAAAAAAACAAAACAGATGCTAGTTTCTGGCAATTCAAACAAAAACAGACACAAAAACACCTCAAAAGGTAAGGTCTTGACAAGAATTGGGTTTAACCCTCATCAGAATTAGAAGAATCAAAATCAGAAGGGTTGCATTGCCAAATTTGTGAGAAATCACAACATTTGGAAAGAAGTTCCATTTAATAAAGAACAAGACTGAAAACTGATGTTTTTTTAACAACAAAAAACTAAACCACACAGAAAACATGTCCACCAAGATAAATAAGAGACAAGGACCATCTTAATTTTCAGTAGATGCAAAAAACCTGGCATCTAGCACTGAACTGCACACCTGTGCATGTGGAAATGGGTTATTTATAATGGCACCATGCATGTTAAGCCGAAGCGACACATGTTTAAGTCAAATCTGCCTTATTTGAATGAAATGACTCAAACCACTGCAGCATAATAAGGCTAAACCTCTAAATACCGTAATAACAACACTTAGAGCACAATTAAACAAGCAAACAAACAAGCAAACAACTCAAAAACAGACTTTGCATCCTGTCAGACATCTGGCACAGACAACCAGGCAAGAAACATCCTCTGTTACATGAATTCAGGGAGAAGGTATACCTTCTCCCTGAATTCTGGTGGTTAGCCTGTATACAGGCTGCCTCCTGTTAGATGCAACAGGGACAAACATCAATTTGTACCAATATAATAATAATAATAATAATAATAATAATAATAATAATAATAATAATAATAATAATAATAATAATAATAATAATAATAATAATAATAATATAATAGCGATATATAATAATAATAATAATAATAATAATAATAATAATAATAATAATAATAATAATAATAATAATAATGCATTTTAATTAAAAAGCGCCTTTAAAAAAACCAAGGTCACTTAACGAGATAAAACACGATAAAATACTGTAAATACTGTAAATACTGTATGGCTACAAAAGCTATATATCTGCAGTAGACATCTGAGATGCTCTTTTGTTTTGTCCTGCTCTGTTACAGTGTTTAAATGGTCTTAACTGTTTTTACATCGCCTTTTATGTTATGCACTCTGTTTCTATTCCTGTGGAATCTTTTGTTTTGGGTATAATGAGGTAGATGTTGAATGTGTGGATTATGCTGTGGTGGCCATTCATTCTGACTCCTATTGTGCTCCAAATTTCCCCAAGAGGGATAATAAGCTTGGCCTGGCCAGCCATGCCAATACTTCCTTATGGGAAGCAAAGTGCCTGGTAATGCTCCTATTTAAATAACCCCACCCCCTGAGAAATCTAACTGAGCCAATCAGCGCCGAGCAGTTTCGCATAAACAACAAACATGGTGTTTGAAGTGAAGTTGAAGGTCTTTAAAACCACAACAAGAAGTGCTAAAAGCCTTTCTTCTAAAGAAATATTCTGTTGTCAGACACCATCTTTGACTACAGCGTTACACAATACAGTCGTTATTTCCACCTATTTTCTGATTGGTTATTTTTGAGCCGGCTAGTCCCGCCCCCATGGTGCTCTCTGCCTCTGAGAATCCAGACCCATCCTCTGTGTAGGACGAGTCTGGCAGGCCGGGCTATTATAAACTAACTGAAGTGAACTGAACTTTTTGAGCAGCCCACATGAGAAAGCATCATTTGCTCTCCTCAGTTCACTTTCAGAAGCTACATAAAAAGAAAGCTGAGGCTAACCCTAACCCTAAGCCTTTATCAACCTTGAAGAACCCTTGAAGTAAACAATTCTTACCCCAGTGGATATGGAGTCTGTTTCCCTCCACAGGAAGCGTCTGGTGACGGTTCTCTGGTGGTTCTTCGTCTCATACACGATGATTCCTTTGGCACAGACTCCCAACACCAGCTCTCCAATCAAAGGTCTTTTCTCTCTTCCCACTCGGTGGAACATAACCCCATACTCCGGTAACTGCTGGACAATCTGAAATCAATGGACACATTATACAGAAAAATATTTCAATGTCAACTCTCAGACAGCAGGATGCCTCGTCAACTTTTTGAGAAGTAGCAAACATTTAACATAAATCAATGTGATCCGTGGGTTAGGGTTAGAATTGTAGTTTTTGTGTGAAAATGAAAGTCTGGTTACCTTTAGGAATTCAGTTTCTGCTTCTTCTGGCAACAAATGTGCATGACTTGCATGTAGTCTTGGCAACTCTTCCCTGATACTTGGAAGGGCGAGCCTCTCCAACATCCTCTTGGACACATAATGCTCTGGCTGGTAATAATCTTTACCATACAACTAGTAAAATAAAAAAGAAATAATCAAATGTGTTGTTTTTCATGTTTAATAAAAAAAAAGGAACTGTTTTTGAGTCTGTACCTCTGGCATATAATCACCAAACTCCGCCTGCAGAGCCAGAGCAGCCAGAAACAAGCCTGTCTCCTCGTTACAGTAAAGCCTGTCTTCTATAATATCCTTACGCAGCTGTAAGTAATACTGGTGACGGGTCAGTCTATGTCTGCAAGCAGAAGAAAGAAAGATTAACAAAAGAGATTTGTGTTTCCATTAAAAAGTTGTTAAAATTGTGCATCAGGACAAAGCTGCACTTACAGAACAAAGGTGATGTCATCAACAAAAAATTTGACACGAAGAAACACCAAAAAGGAGGACATCTGCCCTTTTTTCCAACTGTCTGGAGCAACTTTGGAGATTTTTGTTTCATGGTCCAAAAAGAAATACTCGTCATCTGCATAATGCCATAAAACCACCTTTTAAACAATTGTTTTTGCTTTTCAATATCATCACCGTTTAGCATTCACACCATTGGTAATGCTGAATGTTTTATTCCCAAGCAGTATTCCGTCTTACCGTCCAGGAAGGAAAGACCGAAGTAAAAGTGCTCCACTAGGTTTGCGTGAGCCACCACCATGTCAAACACGTCTCTTGCTCTGGATTTAATGTTGCAGCGAACGACCACGTACTGCCCATTAGACATCACCACGGTCACTTCTCTTTGGGATGAACTCGAGTTACCCTTTTTGGACTGTGATGTGCAAACAGAGAAATGCATGCACATGAAAACAGACACAATAGGATAAATGTACTAAACATTCAAGAAAAATGACTTTATTTTGAATTTTTTGTGGAAATACATAATTTAGATAGATAAATAGCGAAGGTGCTTGAAACTGGTGCTTTACCACGATGGATCCTGGAAGCTCAAGTAGAATTTGCTGCTCATCTGGCATTCTTATGAACTCAGGACCTAAAGCCTGGAAACAAGACATTTACTGTAAAAACTGCACACTTAACTTGTTTTTGATCTTCTCCAGTTCAACTTCATCCTCAAATACACACCAGTGGTGCCCCCAGAAATGTTTCATATGGGGGCCAGTGAACATTTTAGGGTGGCCTACTTAGTTGGACCTTGTGGTAAATCTGAGTCCCCTGTCGTACATGCTTTCCATGTTGTCTTTTCAAACACAAGAGTTCCTCTACTGCCACACACCTGACTTAACCACTGATTAACAGGCTTCTGCAGCACTTGATGTCCTCCTGAGGATGCTATTCAAATATGTATGTAAATCAGGTGTGCTTGAAACAGAGACACTGAAAACATGCAGGACACAGGGATGCTGAGGACCAGGTTTGATAAACCCTGCTTTAGCATTGCTCTTTTTATTCTTTTATTTAAAAAATGCAGCCAAAACATTTACTTCAAATCTGAGAAAATAAAACTGTTCAGAAAAACATTTAAATAATTTTAGTTATTTTTATCCATCCATCCATTTTCTGAACCCACTTGTCCACATTGGATGGGGGGGGGGGGGGGGGCATGCAGACTCCATGCAGAAAGATCCCTTCTTGCTGCAAGGCAACAGCTCTAACCACTACACCACTGTGCAGCCCTGTTATTTCCTTTTATGTATTTTAATTAGTTGTATTAACATTTGTTGTTTTAGCAGTTTACAACAGTGTAATTAACCTGTTGCTGTAAAAAAGCATTAAAAAAACTATTGATGTGTTATGGCCACTTTGGATGCAGGAGCCAGGATCACCCAGCCCTGGTGATCAGCCCAACACCACCCCTTCTCCTCCTCCTCTCTTCCAGGCTGCTGAGGAGCACAGCTGAGCTGAATCCTTCTGACGACCCACACACCTTCAGCAGTCTGGGAGGCAGCAGTCTAGGGGTTCTGTTGTTCTCCAGGCCTTACGCATTGTTTTGAACCCCTTTTGTGTGTTTTTGAAGATCTATGTGATCTTTTTGGTTTATGTGTTGATTTTAAGGTTATTATCGTAGTTTACCGACTTTGGGATTTGAAAACACTCAGTGTGTTCGTAGTGCGTCGGTTTTTATTATCAACTTGTGTTTTTTAAAACACCTTCTGTTTTGGTAAAACTTTTAACAAAGTTTTAACCAGGTGTTTTAATGTTGATACGTGGTCCTTTAAATGTTAACCTTTTAGTCTTGATTTTTGTTAATAATGATCTCCGTTTGCTTGCTTATTTTTAAAACCTTTTATGGCAATTAAATCCACTGTCACATTTCTTATGTTACCCCCTCCTTCACACTTTATGTTATGGAAAAAGCCTTAATCTGACCTCATGCCAAAGAAAAGACATTGTGGTATCTGCATGGGGAATAAGAACTCACAATATACCTTGAGTAAATATTGTACATTTATGGAGCTGTAAATCCAGGAAAATGGGGAAATAATCAGAAAATTATCAGGATTCGTGGAAAACATGATTTTGATAACCGCTGACATGTTACAAATGTATTATGGTTACGATGAAGCACAGAGCAGTGGAGAGAAAAAAAGGGGTTGAAAATGTGAAAAAGAGAGGACACACAGCTTGCCTAAAAGATCCAAACAACAGCAGCTGTGCTCTGTCTGAGCCACCTAGGTTGAATCAATTGAGGCCTGAAAGTAACTTAACAAGAACATCAAGATGAAAAATTAACTCCTTGATGCAAAATGGTCATTACAGTGGACAGCTTCTCAAAATTATAGTTTATATATTCGTTTTTTGCTATTAAGCACAGCTGTTGAAGACTTTATTGCATTTGAGCCTCTCCACTTGGACTTCAGTAAGTCAAGCCAACACATTTCATGTTCATAAAACACACTGTCCACTGTGGTGGACATGTAATAAATTATTTGCTAATTATTAATTGTTACAAAAAATATTTGTTGAAATTTATTTCATTCACACCTGAAGATGAATGAAAATAATTGTTAAATAACCATGGTTGAAGATTTCATAATTCATGCATCAAAGGGTTAAGCAGTGACCAAATATTTAATTCCTGGTATTCTGGTGACTAATATAATTTGAACTATGAACTGTGTCACTTTTAGTGGCTGGAAGGGAAAGGGTTTTAGTGGAACCCCTCAATTTGAGAAATTGACTGTTTATCAGTACTTGGTAGTTAAAGAGAGCCCAATAAAAGCTAAGTATGTAGGTTTTTAGTTGAAACCTCTTGGGCTGAGAGACAGACTGTGTGGTTAACAGTAATCTCAGACCAACAAAACTAGTGACTATTGTCAAATTGCATTGTATCTCCTTATTTTTGTTTTTCTAAATCTTTGTCTCTGACATTTTAAATAAGACAAGGGAATTTTAGCAGATGACTATCGCACCCGGGTGACAGATCTGGTATGCAGTGCCTGTTGAAGTTGAAAACTGCATTTTGAACACTCTAAAAAAAATATCGGTTGCCATGAATTGAATCTCCTGGTGTCTGTCAAATGTATGAACTTGTTTAGATCTCTGATTAGTGGACACTGTGATCAGAACAAGGGGAGAAACTGTCTGGAAGTAAGACTAAAATGAGACAGCAGATTAAAGCTGTTGTAGGGAATTTACATTGAAGAAGTTTAAATTGTTTTAATTCTTCATGTATTCTCAGATTGGGAGCTTTGAAATGCATTTTAACACTGAATTACACACTCCTCTGTGTCTGGGTTAAACAGCAAGGTCGTATCAGAAAAACATACACATCCTAACAGACCTTGGTCTAAAGTAAGACAATATTCTATCAGCCAAGAGGCTGAAGCAGAAATCAGAAAGGCTTTGAGAAATAACTGCTGAAAGAAAATATAAAAACAAAAACTAAGTTAATGCTTTAATTTAAAAATGGGGTTTGCACACTTTGAAATTTAGTATGAAGCTGCTGAACAGTTGATTTGTGTTCATCTGTCCTCTTTGAAATGTATCAACATAGGCCCATGTTTTTGGGACCGGTAGATTTGGTTAATGTTGACACAGCTGCTCAACCTTGTACGCTTTGGAGTTGGAGAAGTAAAACTTATAGTTTCTGACTGAAACATTTAAATGGTGGTAAATTCAAATCAATTAATGAACGGATTTATTGCAGAACATATCTAGTGGCAAATTTTGTAAATGACCAAATGTTTCATTTATTGTAGGGCTGTCAGTATGATATTGGCTACATTTATAACTTGGATTTCAGAAAACACGATAAAGTTTAATGAATCTTTGTTACACACCTAAATTTATTTTATAAATGGGATTTAAATGTTGAAGATTCAATAGTTTTTTTTTCACATGACCGAGTGAGATTAGGCCGTTTCTCAGCGCCACATGCCAAAATCCCACAGTTTCCTTATCATAACCCAAACAAAGGAGAATGCTGGAGGCTGCTAGGCTACGCTGACCTATTCACACACAGAGTGTGGCCGGACACTTTTCCAAAGTAAGATAGTTAGCTGATTCCTCTTTATAATCTGCTAACTATCTGACGCTTGTGTGTCTGTTGGATGCCAATAAAACGTTGATAATGAGAGTAAACCTAATAATATTAAGCAGAGTGTAACCCCTGATAGGAGGTTTCAAATGTCAAATTTAGGAGTGATGATAAATGTTTTTTTAACCTAAATTACCTCATCATTAGGAAATAAGGGATTAATATATGATGTTCTAAACTTTCAAAAGTACTGATTGTGCCTTTTTTACATTATCGTATCTTGAACCTTGATCTGGTTCGCTTGCCTTGAGCGGATTCTTAGACATTATCCATTAGAGGTTATTCAGTATCATCAAAAACATTATTGGAGATAGATTTCTAGGTTACCATGGTTTTATCCATTGTGTTGTTATCATATGACATTAGACATCTTATAGGTCAAAGACTATCACTCGAACCATGGGTCAAGTCCATTTATAACTTTGAAACTTTCCTAACAAATGAGTCTTATGAACAAATCTCCTTATTTAAGTTAGAAGCTATCCTCAACTTGATTGTGTTCATGATTTCAGTAACGTCTAATTTATAATCAGTAACTTCTATACGAAGATGTTAAATTAACAGTATAGTTGAAGAGTTTAGTTCTTAAAAGTTATGAAGAGTACAAAAGTTATGTAAAATATTTCTAATTTGTGTTAGTCAATCTATCTCGACTCTCAATTAACTGTTTATGTAATTAATATTGAACCACTTCCTAGTTGGTTAATGAATATTTTCTGCCATTTTGCTAAAAGAAAAAGACTTCACTCTTGTTGAGTAAATCTGTCACGAAGCGGCGGGAGGTTTGGACCCGAAATGCAGAAATCCAGAACACACAGGGAGGAGCGGTTGAAAAAAGTAAAATCCTATATTTTGGAAGGTGATCAAAAACCCAAAGGAGAGGAGGCAAAAACCTAACCACTAAACCAAGACAAAACCAAAAGCTCACTTGCTGAGCAGAAATCCAGAGACTAGTACGGAGGGACAAAACAACACTGACATAAGACAATGGACCAACAACCATAGAGTGACAAGACAAGGCTTATAAAGGAGGGAGGTAATCAGGGAAACAGGTGACAGGTGTGAGGAGTATGAGCTGAGGAGAAACTGGTGGAATCAATTAACAAAATGGGAAGGGAAAGAGCTTGACCAGAGGGCAGATAAACATAAACCTATAAATACAAAACTAAACGTAAAAGCTGAGGGCAAAAAATAAACAAATAACTAGATGGATGAGGAAGACTAAAATAAGCTTGACTAGGAATGGAGAATGATTAGAAGGACACCTGAGGGAAGTCAACAGAGGGCTGGGGATAATAATGGGACACAAGAGGAAAACCTGAAGTGGAACAGGAGGGGCTGGGGAACAAAGAGAGACAGAAAATGACAAAATCAGCTCTCACTTTCTTGTCTCCTTTATTCAAAAAGAGAGCAGCCTTGCCCTTGACTCATCATTGTTTTTGTTTTTAATATTTGCTAGACGAGCATTATAAGATGACACTTTCCCAACATGACCCTTAA